CATAAACTAACCTGATAACTTGCGTTTGCCACAACCATGCCTCAGTAAAGAAAATAGCTAAACTTCTTTGCGTTTGACAGCTGACTTTGTGACTGCTACTACCAAAACGCGTCCTTACTGGCAACAATAAATTTTCTACTGCTTGATCCTTCACTTTTCGTTTGTCATCATACATGGCCAAACTGGCCGCGATTGCTGTTTGATTGTGCAGAAGAGTGGATGCACCAGTGCGAAGCATTTTGAATATGCAAGAGGGGCTGCAACCAAGCTGGCATCCTCCGGCCCGCTCGTCTTTGACCATGCTAGAACTCTCCATCCGTCTTTCTATGTAGCAGCTTCCTTTCGTCCTGTCCCCTTCCTATACGCCAAATACCCCAGCTCAGTTTTCCTGATCTATGTTCACTTCCCCCCTCTCTAGCAACTCTCAGCTCTCGCTCGAACAACAAAGAAATGGATTGCAACCATTTGTTTTTGTGATACAACAAATACACATCCACACATCCTAGTGTCCTAGCTCAAAGTTTGAGAATTGATCAAAAGGATAGCGACAGAACCCTTTGTTGTACTTTTCGGCCAAATATTTCAGAGTTACCAGCCTTGAGGGTAATGTCCCGGCAAAACTTCACTCTCCGGTTTTTCACCTCTTCGGATCCTTCTCACCATGCTGTAACCATATCTGAGCTATTCAGCGCTTGAAAATGGCAAAAATGAGTTTTTCCAACTCTCCGTCCGCGTTTGCTGCAAAGTACGTGTAAGAAATGGGCGGAGTCCAGAAGATTTTCTGAGCGGATTTTGGGCTTTCCAAAAACGCTTTTTCGTTCCAGATTTAACTGCGAGATTGGCTGGAGGGTCTACCTGCAACACTGTAAAATCTCCGTACCCATACCTTCGATACATAGAGCCACGTACTCTGGTGACCTTCACTTTGAGCGTCATGATAGAACACAACCTTCACCTAGAGGGAAGTCATCCGGGGCGAAGCCCCGGATATCATGGCATAACTAATGACATATCCATATAGGGAGAGATGTGAATGAGGTAAATATGGTAGTGACATCCAAAAGAAGCTCAAAGAACCGAAGGATTACGTTTTTATGGCCCTTTTTTGCCAAAAAGACTTTTATTCAAAAATTCAATGAGGAAATGGAGCAAAATTTCTCAATTAATCTTACTCTAGACTTCGATTGAGCGTTGGAAGTTCATGAAAGCCGCTGGAGTTCAATTGAAACGAGAAACTGCTCTCAAATCTTGCGCAGAGAGTCGCTACATAAGTGCTGGTCTATCTCGTTATAGAGTGATTTTCAAGACCCGCGACGTTGTCAGTGCTCCTTGACGTCTCATGAGGATCACAACGATATATAATGTTACAGGGTTTCGCTATGATCCCGCGGAGATCAATGACCAGAGCCAAATGCCCCGCCGGCTCTGGTCTGTCTCCGCTGCTCGTCTGCGCCTCCGCGCGCTGCGCGCTACCTCGCTACCCCAAACGCGGGGCGCGGGGCATTTGGCTCTGGTACCCTTTTCTTCGTTGTTGGGAGCCCAATTTCGACAATCTATATATCATATTAAAGCTCTTGATCTCTATTTTCACGCTGACAACGTCGCAAGACTCCTTTTTATGATTTAAACGAGAAATATAGGAAAAACGGAGTTTTCGAAAACCTCTTGTTTTTTCTTCAGTTCAACTCTTTTCACTCGGTTTTTTTGTGTATTCGATAGGTCTTGTTTCTGTCTATGATGTAGACAACGTCGCCGAGCTTACTTCTTTGCTTATGCCGGTTTTTTTGTGAAAATTACCAAAAAGTGCGTTTTTCTTTACCTTGTTCTTTTTCACTGCTTTTGCAACGAATTTTCTCCAGCTTGGATGTTACTTGCTCAGAATGATAAGCGGAAGAATCCAGACAACGTCGCAGGATACGAAGCGACCATGTGGGGGTGAAAATTCAAAGGACGCGTCAAAAATTAGATTGGCGTCGATGTGCAGCATAATTTTTCAGACATGTTTAACATGTTCAGCTCAGTTGTTGACAAGTTTGCCTTCTTTCGGTCTCCCAACTACCGCCACAGCTAACGCTTTTTTTTCAATTAGAAAGAACTTTGTTCCTGTTGCCACCCAATTTAACCGGCAATTCTGAAGACAAAAATGTGCGTAGAAAACCACCAAGATAAGGTTTTAAATTTGGTGATGTGTTAGCCTCTGTTTTATACGAATTTTTCAAGTTTCCTGGCTCCATACCTTCGATAGTCTAGAGACAGGGCGCCAAAAGTGAAGGTTGTTTGAACATCTGACGTCATAAATAGCGAAGGTTGTTTGAAGAAGATCAGAGAAGAAAAAATGACGTAAAATAGATATAAAAAGCAAGAGAAACTGCTGAAAACCAGATAAAAATGCTGCAATAAGGTTTGAAATCTTTCGTTTGGCGGCTTTTTAAAGTGCAAGTTTTCGCTTTAAGACCAGCAATTCGCAACGCGGGGTTTTGATTTTTGATGCGTCCTTTGAATTTTTACCCTCGCGCCGTCCCTCTTGTACCCTGCGACGTTGTCTGGATTCTTCCGCTCATCATTCTGAGCAAGTATCGTCCAAGCTGGAGAAAATTCGTTGCGAAACTACTGAAAAAGAATAAGGTAAAGAAAAACGCATTTTTTTGTAATTTTCACAAAAAAAACCGGCATAAGCAGAGAAATAAGCTCGGCGACGTTGTCTACATTATAGACAGAAACAAGACCTATCGACTACACAAAAAAACTGCGTGAAAAGAGTCAAACTAGGAGAAAAACGAGAGATTTTCGAAAACAAGGTTTTTGCCGGATTTCTCGTTTAAATCATAAAAAGGAGTCTTGCGACGTTGTCAGCGTGAAAATAGAGATCAAGAGCTTCAAAATGATATATAGATTGCTAAAATTGGGTTCGAAACAGCGAAGAAAAGGGTACCAGAGCCAAATGCCCCGCGCCCCGCGTTTGGGGTAGCGAGGTAGCGCGCAGCGCGCGGAGACGCAGACGAGCAGCGGAGACAGACCAGAGCCGGCGGGGCATTTGGCTCTGGTCATTGATCTCCGCGGGGTCATAACAAAACCCTATAATATTATATATCGTTGTGATCCTCATGAGACGGCCAGGAGCACTGACAACGTCGCAGGTTTTGAAAATCACTCCATAACGAGATAGACCAGCATTTATGTGGCGACTCTCTGCGCAAAATTTCAGCGCAGTTTCTCGTTTTTATTGAATTCCAGCGGCTTTCATGAACCTCCAACGCTCAATCGCAGTCTATAGAAAGGTTAATTGATAAGTTTCATCCTAATTTCTAACTGAATTTTTGAAGAAAAACCTTTTTTTCAGCAAAAAAAAAGCCATAAAAACGCGATCCTTCGGTTTTTTGAGCTTTTTCTGGATGTCACTACTATATTTGCCTCATTCACATTCATCCTTACATAGTTAGTCATTAGTTATATCATAATATCCGGGCTTCGCCCCGGAAGACTTCTGTATTCCTCTCCAGGTGAAGGTTGTATCCTCTCATGACACTCAAAGCGAAGGTTACCAGAGTACGTGGCTCTATGTATCGAAGGTATGCCTGGCTCCATTCAGATCTCTAAATTTTCATCTATTTTTTCTAAAACAACCTTCACTTTTTATAGAGGGCAAGAACTCAAACAACTATCACTTTCTAGGCTTTGTCTCTTGACTATCGAAGGTATGTCCGTACCCATCATTTTGTGGGGACGATGCCTTTAAATTGCCGCGATGAGAGATTGCTTCTGAGGTTACTCAAAAATTGGTAATGTTTGTCAGAAAGATAAACATGTGTTATCAACGACTTTTTCTGAGATCTCTCAAGGAGTTCCCTATTCATTCAGAAAACTGCTTTACTGGCCACAGTAACGTACTGAAGTCGGTTGAAACCACACTAGTTTGTTTCAAAAAATCGAAGATTTGTTAGGTTGGAAACTGAGTTGAGAGCGCCTTGTGCTACGCGCCATTAGCTCCTAGTTTGCCGCGAATACTGCAAACTGCGAAAGATTTATATGCAGATTAAAGTGACCGTTTGCCTCAGACCTACCGAAGCGATAGCTTGTGGACCTAAAAGGGAACAATAAGGAAAGGGACTCTACTACGTCGGATGTTGAGCCCATATCATCAAAAATTCTCTTGGAAAACTTTTGGTTTGAGTGAATTTTTGATGGCATTCTATTTGCTGCAGTAATGCTGTGCACCTTCGAAACGCTGAGATAAGATGTTAAGATAATTGTGCATTTATAACGGATAGGTGCTACTATATATAATGAGAGAGTAAATGAGCATAAAACTTTAATGGAAGCATTGCTATCATACAGTCAGATAAATTTTATGATCATGTGTGTCACTGCCACACTGCCCACCATTGGCGTCCCCATCCTGGATTCTTGGAGAGAACAACCCTTTAAGTATGTGTTTTCGATTCGTATTCAAATGCAGTGGCTCGGCAAAACCGAAAATATTGAAATTGATGTGGTAGGTTGTGCTTACCCCTCAATTATGAAAACAAACCAAGTCTGGGCAGAACGCCCTCGCCCTGCCAGAAAATTGCCCTCAAACTCGTGTTCACGATCGTGAGCGCAGCCCATTTTTGCAGGCGCTCGGACGAGCTCGCGATCTCCCTCCCACTCAGACATTCGTGGTTAAGTCCCTCAAGACTCTTGCGGTCTCAAAACTATGGGACTAAAGAGTAGTCTTGCGTGAGAACCCGATTTTGCTGCAAACTTAAGAAAGGAAGACGTCTTGAACTTCAAAAATTTAGTTTCATAACTCTTTCACAGATAGCAGGAAGTACTATGTGTTTTTGTTTATGATAACAGTGTGTTTCAACATATGATAAAAAAGTGAGAACTCATTATACTGTAGTCGTCGTTCTAGCGTTTACTGAAAAGGAGTTGTAAATAACACAGAGCAAGAAATTAGAGAAAGAAACAGGATGCGAAAAGTGGGAAATGAGAAGCAACAAATGTGATTATTGCAAATTTCAGTATCGGCGATTTCCTGTTATAAGGGCGAGCAACGCGTCGCGATATTGCCCTGAAGTGTCGCCCTAAATCAGCAAAGTTCTCACTAAAACGTACATACTTTAGAACTCTGAAATAGGGCCGAGTAAGGGGTGTGGCACAATAAGTCGGACCCTCAATACCCTCTCATCCCCCCTCCTTCCCTGACTTTGTCCCAGTAGACCTCGCAATATCGTCTATCTTTCCTTAGTGAAGGCCTATCAAATAAATGAAATGATGACCGGCCTATCAAGCATAGTGAGTAGTATAAGGTTTACACACAAGTTTTGCAACTTATTTCGTAGCTTTTCTTTTTTTGGCTGCTACGCATTCATTTTTGGGCCTGATGTAGATTAGGTAGTAAACTACAAACCTATACAGTCTGATTGTTGGTGACGAAAATTGTTGGAGAAAATATATGCATTTTTCGAAAGGTGGTCAAGTTCGAAGTTTCAAGGGTCGGAAAACTAAAAATGAGAACCAAAATGATCTATACTGTTTCGGCTTGACGTGTTTGATTTCGACTGCGAACGGCTTTATTATTGATTTCCCGGCCTTTGAAATTTCGAACTTGACCAGTTTCCGAAAAATGCCCCACATCTCTCCACTCTACCAGAGATATCAAACTATTTGCATAGATTTGTAGCCTTTTACCTAGTCTACATTATGCCCAAAGATGAATGCATCACAGTCCAAAAAAGAAAGGTTACGAAATAAGTTGCAAAACTTATGTGGCAACCCAATATTATACTCGCTACTAGCATGTCGGATAACCCCTATGCAGCAAGCTTTAGCGAATTTTGAACAGGAAGAGATCAGCTTTGTTCCAAAATGTGTCTGTTATCGGCTATTTTTGTACTCAATACAAAGCACTACGCCTTCTTTGTCCACGAAAGGAATACCACTTCAAATAACCAAAACTGCTCAATCGAGAAAAAATCTCGTGATCTCTGCGAACACTACAAGATTTAAGGTATCTTTGTATATGAATTGTTAGAGTTTTCTTTGCGGTAAAATTTATAGAATATGGTAGGACCAGCAGTCCGCGGAGGCGGCCCAAACTGGCGGCTTTCGTTCCCACACCCCATCCATGAAGTTGAAAAAAAAACTCGTCCGCCCTCAAAACAGGGTCCCTAGGAATCGAGTTTTTTGAGGGTTTTGGACAATTTGAACTTTATAACTGTAACCAGGGCCACGGAAAGGCCCTAGAACGACAACATGAGGGGCGAAATTTTGTCCGGACGCTGCCTTTAACTTACCTTCAAAGCGTTCAAACATCTTTGTTTCTCATAACTTTACACCGTCGAGCTTTCTTCTCTTTATACTACAAAGGAAAGGAGGAGAAAAGGTATTCCCTTTGGCTCCTTCTTCCACAGTTCGACTGTTGTTTGAAGGACTCCAATATTGACAAAGAGAAAGTAGAACTTTGTATTGAGTGAAAAAGAGATAGCCAATCTAACCTTGGAACAAACTTTACATGTTCGCGACCGTTCCACTTGGGTGACCCAATATTGTGAGCCCTAGAATTTCCTAGAACTTGGCCACAGGGATTATTTGACGTGCTATAGTCGTCCTCCCCCCACTAAACACCTAGTGGACGAATTCGAATTTGAAGTAGAGCACGCCGTATGCGGCAGAGCGCGGTACCTGCAGCCCTCACTTTGATCTCAAACAGACGTTTTTGGGTTTTCGGAACGTTTCATCTTATTTTTTGAATGTTAGCAGTTTTCTTAACTGGATTGTAGACTTTGTTAGTCTTGAGTGATGTTTCCTGCTACTATGCTCGTTATTTGAATTCTGATTTTAAATTAATAAATAAAAACCGAAGAAGCGAGCATAGTAGCACGAAACATCGCTAAGCAGCAACAATTTCGTCGATTTTGATTACAAACATCACTGAAACAAAAAATCACCATGCAACGACGAAGAAACACCAAAGAATATTGGATGAGGTTGAACTAGAGTTGACAATGCCGCGCTCTGCCGCAATCGGCGTGCTCTAGTTCAAATTCGAATCTATCCACTAAATGTCTAGTGGGGGGAGGACGACTATATTTACAAATGCGTTACTCACTATGCTTTCTAGGGCTTCTGTTAAGCTTTACTTAGGTATCCAACGATAAGTAAAAATTCCAATGAGCTTGTATTTTGCATGGAGCTCGTCTGACATTGGTAGAAGATAATATCATCAATTACCCCCTTCCCTCTCTGAGCAATTTGACAGCGGGTGGGGGAACGAACTCCGCCAGTTTGAACCGCCGCCTCCGCGAACTATTGGTCCTGCAACGACATGCAACAATATAGCAAAAGGATTAGTTGCCAGCGAAGGCGTGCTCAACCTGGCGTTCGTTCCCCTACCCTCTGACAGCTTCCTATCTGTGGCGTGCCAAACCTCAAACTTAACCCTGCTTGAAGCCAACTGGAGCAATTTTCATGGAAAATGAAACATCTTCTGAACATACCTTAATCATATCAATCAGTGGAGTGTTGTACATCATCTCGAACTCATTCTTGATAAGATCAAGATCAACTTCTGAGCGACTGACCAACACACGGATCAAGTCATTATCACGTGTTCCCAAACCCTAATCGGAACGATTGTAGAAATGAAGGACATTGCAAATAGGCGATACCTTCATGGAATAGTACAGTTGTTCGGCAAAAAATTTCTGCTTGTCAGTGGCTGCTTTGACGATGGTGAGAAAGCTTTTTTGCAAATCACCTTTGAATTCATTTTCGATTGCCTTCTCGATTGTGATTCCAGAAAGATCAGCGAAATTCTCAAATACCTGTAGCGCACAAATAATACAACGTCTTCAATACAATTAATTGCCAAGTTTTCACCTTTCTCAGCTGATATTCATTCTGAGAGGCAAGGATGTTCAAAAAGTATGATGGTGCACCTTTGCTAACCAACATTGCTTTACCATCGCCGTAAAGTCGTGCAGCGTCCTAAAAGCATAGCAATTTCCATAAAGTTTTGATTTGGAGAACAGTTTCGTACATCTTTAGCCTGCTGGTCATCGACTTCATCGCTGGTGTCCTTGCTCCCAGTGACAAGCGCTACGAAGAGATCTTTGAACTCTCCAGATGTAACGTCTGCTGTCTAAAGAAGAATAAGTTCTGCATCGTTTCTTTCAAATGCGACTTGCGAAAAAACTCAACTTTTCTGGATTATTTAGCTTGCACTGTGACCACGGTTGCTATTATTGAAAGCCAATTTTACAAGGAAATAATTTACAAAAAATTCAAAGTAAGTTGTGTTTGGCAAAGAATGCTGTGTCGAGTAAAGTTCTTCTATGTCAAATGTCAATGTCAAACATGTCAAATACCGTTTACAATATCATTGTTCTGTATTATATACAGTCGGTTTCATCCCGGATTAGGCGAGACATTCTACGTGGAGCAGCGCATGCGCATCGCTGGAGGCTTCGCGAGCGCATAGCGCTGGCATTTTGCCGAGCAAAGATTAAGGAGATTGAAGAGACGCAGACATGGGTTCTCAGCACGATAGGATATACTATAGCGAGCTGTTGCGAGGCGGACTCCCGCCAGTCCAATTTCCGCCTAAAGCGGGTCGAAACTTACTGTAGATGAACTTCGTAAAGGCTACTGCATGACGAAGGTGCAGAAGCAATATCAGCTGAGCCGCGAACGCTACGCGCGCGTATTCCACCGTTGTAAATCCTGCGCCTCATGCGCTCTGCGGCTAATAAAGCTGCGTTCGCGCCCAAGATATTGCGGCTTTGTCATGCAGCAGCCTACACATTGCTGTACTTCATTTCAGGAACAAAAGCAAGTTGTTGTATGACATGCTCTAAAGTAATTTTTCAAGCTATGAATGCATAAAGTAAACTAATGGCTTATTTGCAGAGAAGAGCATATGACATCACATTATCTAGACTATGGCCCATAGTCAACCCCCATTCATCTCAGGTGACTTGAGATTAGTCGTTCAGAAGAACTTTCTCGGGTGATCCTAATCCTGCCCACCTTCCCGTGCTTTAGGATAGTCAGTTCAACAGTCAGAAGACTGTCTGGTCAAGTGTCACAGTCAGTTCACCAGAATGCCACTTATCCGAGGTTGAATTTTAGGGTGACCCGAGAGAAATAGTGTGCTTAAGAGGAGGATCAGACAAATTTCCCGTAAGTTGCTCGTGAGTAACTTACGGGACAATCTAGCCGACGTCTTCTTGCGGTGCAAAACTCCCAAAATTGCACGTTTTCGGCGGCCTGAATGGGAGAGGATCGATGAACAGCTGATTGCGGCGAAAAAAAGAGAAAACAGGATTTCTTGGATTTCTTCTTTTTTTCAAACTTGACTACGTTTTTTCTTCAAAAACTGCTTGAAACAAAGATTTTTAATTTTTTTTTATCTGCTCTAACTTCAAAAACTTTCGTTTTCCATGAATTTCTCGCCAAAATGTGGTAGTTTTGTTTTATCCATCGTATGCTTGGCGATATCTTTGACAGCGGTCGCCATCGATTTCTCTCGATAGCACTAGGGGTTTATTTTTTGAGAACGCACAAGATCTTTGGGTCTGAAAAGCGATCTGAATCCGGATCGATGGCTCACCGGATGCCGGACTGAGGCATCTACGTTCAACGTAGGCCCGCCCCCAGCCGAGTTGGGCTGAGAGGGGTTTACTACGGGCCTATATATAAATATTCTCCACAGAAGTATTACGTAAGAAATTTTCAAAGCTTGTGTAACCAATACCTCCACCGGTTTTCCTCCGGAACGTCACCAAAACGACGGAGTCAGTCTGGAGCATAAACTTTTGTAAGATCATGTTCTGGACTTGTTTTCATCCAAGATAAGATTTCTGACGGGGATAATTTCCCCAATCAAAAATCTATCTTTGAGCGTGAGAACAGAGCCGATAAAATCTATGTCGGGTTAGATCAATATCCTTCCCTCTAAAACGAGTTATTTTTTGCGTATTGAAAATAACAAACTAATTAGATGAAAATTCAAGTTTGCACAATTTTAGAGCTTATGCGAATATTCCTAAAAAATTTCATAAGTGTCTCATTCCGTGCTTTCCCAGATTCCCAACACCACAATAGCAGACTGTCGTAATTTTGTCACTAGAAAAAACCGTATCCATAGTGACTCGAAATTACTCGTTGTAGCTTGCATGCGAGATAAAAAGTGCAGTACAATATAGGCGAATTCTAGAAACCAAAAAACCATTCAAGTCAAGTTTTGCCGGTTAATAATTGTAGTAATGATATCATAACTATGAGTATGGTTGGTAGCAACATCAATAATGTTACTGCGAATATATAGCACTTTTTATTCTACTAAACCGTTGTTTAGTGCGCGTAGTAGATTGGACGCAAACAACAATCGAAAGAATCTGAAAGAGGCAAAAAACATTTCCATCCCCTTTTGAGCATGTAATGCGTGCTCTTTAAATATTTTTCCATGGACACTTACGCTCATTTGCAAGCATATTTCAAAATTTTACTACTTCGTTACATGTACTAGTAAGTCAAATATAAAGAAGGGGTGAACCGTTTGCGCAGTCAAAAAGAGTAGTTAAAGGTTCATGACTAGAAACGACTGATACCGTTTTAACCCCATAGTACGTTTTAGACTGTTTAATCATCAAGACCTACACCCACATCCTTCTCCAGCGGTACACCATATTGTTCCTCATAATAGCTTCGAATTGCAGCAAGTTGGTCGGGAGTGCGAGAGCAGAAAATTTCGACTAATGTCAATGCATCCGTGCTAGAGCCCTATAAAAATAGTGAAAGGAAAGTCGCTGAAGCTTCCGCAATGTGCAGGCCTGCGCTCCTTCACCAACCTTCATGGCCTGTTTCAGCTGCTTGACATCATATTCCAGAGGGGTATCCATAAGTGCAAGTATAGTCTTCTCAAGATCTCCACCCAATAAGCCTTCTAGTGCAGAGGTAACGTCCTTTTCGTACTTGGTCTTGTATTGGTCACGCATCTGAGACATACATATGAAACTCTCGAAGCTCAATCATATCACTATGCCGTAACGTCAAAAAGATTGGAAAACCTTGAGCTCTTGACTTCAATGATGCAAAGAAAAGCAATATTATCATGCTTGAGTTATTGCGCAAGTTGAGCAAAAAAGTTCTCCTCCCAATTAAGCGAGAAGAAATTTGAGGTTTTTAGACACATGCGCTGGCAGATTCTCTGGGATGGAGTATTCTGATGTAGTCGATCAACAATCTAGTGTCTTGCAATTCTTAATCAATACTGATTCTTATTTTTCTGGTATATGGAACAAAGCAACCTTCAAAAAATAGTTTCAACCTTCGCACTGTGTTTGTACATTTGCTGCAGTTGCGCGTTTCATAATTTTGCCAAAAATCGAGACCTTTGAAGAAATAATTTTTGGAGCTAGAAACAGCAGGTTAGGAGAATCTAAAAATACGATCTTGTAATTCGAGAATAGCTCTATTTGATCCGTATCTAAAATTTCTTTGAAAATTAGCCTAACTTTGAGCAGGTAAAATTGACGTGTGGAGAATTTTGGCAATCATCAAAAAAAGCACACAAGATTGTGGTTGGATAATGTATCGATAAGAAAGAGAATTGAAAGCTGCATCGAGTGCATGTCGAAACTCTTTCAGGTCTTTATTGTACTCTTTTTACAGTGGTTTGAAAAAACGGACAAAACTTTCGGGACAGCCTAACAGATGACGCATAACGGCGTACCGACCCCCCCCCCCCCTCGAGAATGGGTTGCAAGATTTTTGAAGCTACATACATGAGTTAAGAAATGCAAGTAGCTTACTAATACGTGTAGATAATTGAAATGGCTTTTGAAAATTCTTAAAAATTTAATTTTAAAAAGGTAATTTGAAATTTACCTCTATCAAAATTTTGGGGGTATGGGATTTGCTGGAATTCGCCTGCAATCTCGTTTGGCTGAGACTTTTATCAGACTTTATTTTGTAGTAAAAGAGCAAGAAAAACTTTCTGATTTTACAAATATGATCGCGTCAAGGGTAAAAATCTTTTAGAATGCTACTGACATAAGACGACAAAAATCGGGCAGAACTTAGGCACTATACAGTAGTCTAGTAGGTGGACTTGTCAGGCTTTTCTAAATTACCACATGTTGCAGAAGAGAAAAGTATTCTCACTACATGAAAATATATCCATCGACATTATAATCTGTGTGAATTCCCAGGATAGAGATGCATCGATTTCAAGTTCAAGTTTGCAGTTCAAAAATGTGATTTGCACTACAGCGTTTGTTTTTACTAATGACTACTTTGTTAACGACTGACCATTTGACGCTGTTCGTTGCTGATTGAGGTCAGCATATTGACGATAAAATCCTTGTCGTTGGCTCTTGCAGCACGATCGAGCTCCTTAGCATACACGACGGGATCAAAGTCCGGATTGTCAACGATTGTGGCGTAGTGGTTCATTCTGTAAGTTAGAGCTTCGTCCCTTCACAAGAAGTTATGTCCAATAGTTTCTTGGTAAAAACTGCACCGAAAGGAATGTGGAGCATAGGCAAAATCATCATAAGGCAACTGGGTTATATAGACTGATTCAATTACGGCGTTCTCACAAAAGTCTAGAAAGCTTCTCATGAAGTGAAAGAGCAGTGGCACTCACTACAAGTGCACGAGAGAGTATCAAGGACTACAATGGGTTATTTGAGCTTTCGCAACCCGCCTTTTCTCACATAGGCTTGGCTTACAAAAACCAATTCTTGATTGACAAAAAGCGACATTCTTTATGCATACCTGTAGAACGATCTTAACAGGGTTTTTCTAGGTGCAAAACAATTTCGAGCCATAAGGATGATGCACCTATACATGGTTGAAGGCTTTAGACGAAAAGAATGAGAGAAATGCAAGAAAGCAAAGGAATTTCTTCGATTTTGTCGCGTGTAGCTAGATCGTGATTGCTTTTGAGCTTTGCAGTCTCAATTTTTTTTCAGTTTGGCTCTCTTTTTTCTTAACTCTTTTGAATTTAGATTTCCCGTCGATTCCCTCAGGTGAAGCAGCTTTTTTGGCTGTCTGTTTCGTTACGGGTAAGCCATTCGACTCACTTTGTTCGCGACTTGACTCACAAGTGACTTATCCTTCATAGATTTGTTCTTTCTCTTGATAATAGATTTTCTATCCACAGTCCACTGTGCATGCTTTAAGCCATGAGATTAGCAATCCTTGCTTTCTTCTCTCGCTTCTTCTTTGAAGCATTTGAGTTTCAGTTCCTATAGAAGGCGCAGATGTTAGCATAGATGCACAGTTTTAAGTCAATTGTAAAGTCGCAGGCAGCTGCAGCTAGAGACACAAACTCATGCATATAGTTATTATATTTTGTACTTAGCTTGCTTCCTCCATTTATTTTAATGATATAGTTTTGCCTTCTTTTAGTTCATTATAATTTTTCGTAGTTTAGATTTCAGTCATTGATATCAATCTGTTATCTGTTTACTCATGTTTACTGCTGCCTTTTCGCTACCGAGGTAAAGTTTGATTATCCAAGTTTAAGGCTGCTTGCTCTGCGTACAACCAAGTCCCGCGTGGCAGTTCAGAATCAAGTGTTCAGCACAGTCAACCCACATTCTCCGATCAAATCCAATGTACTGAAGCCTGTTTTTATAAACAAGTTTCTTAACGCAATTTCCATTTTCTTGATGTAGTTTCCATTATCAACTCCGGCTCAGAATGCTTTCAGATCTGGGGTGCTCCAAATACATGTACATAAAATTTCTGAGCAAGGATCCGCCCAGAATCCACGCAGCTCAGAGTACCATTAGGTCGTCATTTTAAAACTACTTTTATGGCTTCTCTCTTTGCATATAACGCACTCATCTCATCATGTATAGATCGTGACGTAAGTTACAGGCGCAGCCACAGCTCTGCAAAATTCTGAGAGTGAAGGTTACGATAGGTATATGATATGAGGGGGATATTTATAGAATACTAGCTGGCTTATTCGGCTCCGCCGTATCCGGACCAAACTTGGCACACATACACTACGGGCCAGGGCGGGTGTCACAGTCCACTTTTCGTTATCGATCGATGTCGATTTTACCGATTTTTATCGATTTTTTGCAGAGTTCACCTACAAGGCTAGGAGTTGGCACAGGGGGGGGGGGAAGTGAGCATGGGGATTCCGAATACAATATTAGTTTTCAGAATTATCGATTACTTTTATTGATTTTATCTATTTTTTGTAAATTTTGACATGCGAGGCTGGGATTTTGCACAGGGTGGTAATCGAGCATGCTGATTACGAACACAATATTAGTTTTCAGGATCGTCCATTACTCTTATCGATTTTATCGATTTTTTTGTAAAGTTTGACCTGCGGGGCTGGGAGTTTGCACAGGGGGGTAATCGAGCATGCAGATTACGAATACAATATTAGTTTTCAAGATCGTCCATTACTTTTATCGATTTTATCGATTTTTTAAAAATTCGAGCTAGTGGGCTGGAATTTGGCACAGGGGTGTAATCGAGCATGCTGATCACCCCCCTTGGGGATGATCAGCATGCTCGATTACCCCCCTGTGTCAACTCCCAGCCCCCTAGCTCAAACTTTGCAAAAAAATCGATAAAATCGATAAAAGTAATCGATAATCCTGGAAACCAATATTGTATTCGGAATCCCCATGCTCGATTACCCCCCTGTGCCAACTCCCAGCCCCCTAGCTCAAACTTTGCAAAAAAATCGATAAAATCGATAAAATCGATATCGATCGATGACGAAAAGTAGCCTATGACACCCGCCGGGGCCCGTAGCGTATGTGTGCCAAGTTTGGTCCGGATCGGTTCAGAAATGGAATTTTCTATTCGGAACATACGTACAGACATACAGACATACATACATACAAACAGACATTCAGCTTTATATATAAGATTAGAAATTTGGTTGAAAGTTTTTGCAGGTGGGTTATCAGACATGCTGATTACAGAAACGAAATTGTTTCGCGTGGTGAGGCTTTTTCGATCGCTACAGTAGGTTTACGGTATGGGGTTTCACGCTAAATAAGAAAAGAGGCGTTAATTTGATGAATGAATATGATATTCGTATATGGTAGGGTAAACCACCATGCAAAGTCTTGACGAATTCTGAGACTCCGAATCCATAGTGAATGACGCTTGTCCCCAAGCAGCTTTGCGTACAGGGCTTGTTCAACTTTGTGAGGGTACCAAATCTTGGGTTGTTTTCTAATTCCATTTCTTCCTTACTGCGCTGGCTGACTCGTCCTCTAGCAATAGTTTATGCACACTTTCGGATTGTTGTGCATGATCTGTTTTGAAAACGGCTTCATTTTCACTTAAAACTTTATGAATCCTTAAAGTGCAATTTTTCGAAGAACTATCGGATTTATTTTTTATTTTGTCACAATCACAACGCGAGCGGTTTATGCCAGTTTGCAGCTTACATGTATCAAAATTTGAGCGCGCCAATACCAAAAAGCGAAAGGTTACGGCTTAGTTGCAAAACTTGGTTAATAGCCTATTAGTGACCGAAAAGTATGGGCGCCATGTTTGATCGTGTCCCACCGTTTGTTGGTTGGCGCAAACAAAATTATTTTGGCCTCATAGTGTGCACCAAGCTGTCGTCTGATCACCAAGAAATTATGAAAGTGTGCCTCACTACAAAGTCATTGCCGCTTGGCTGAACGCGGCGAGTCCGCGGCAGCTATTGCGATGTAGCTAGACACGCCGTCGAGGACGGCCCATAAAATCATCAAAGTGGAAAGAAGAAGAAAATGTTACTCCAAGACCGAAGAGTGGTCGTCCACGGACGGTGAACACCAAAAGAATTCGAGAAATTATCAGAAAAAGAGGAGCGATGAGGTCAGCCTGAACGGCATATCTTTTTTGCGCTCCGCCCCTTTGCCCATCCCTGAACTGCCCAGTGACGCGCTCTAATTTTGCAAGCAATGTTGAAGTGCATACTGTTTGGTGTGGCACTGTTGCAGTACGGCGAGGTTTCTTGTTGCATACGACGTAGCACCGAAGCGCTGTCCAAGTTTGCCAAAATGGGGGCAATACTGGGACTTTCCCGTAATTTGTATCTCAAATCGGAAATCAGGACCATGGAAAGGCGCCATAACAAGAAAACATAGAAGTCGAAATGAGTGGATGCTGTGGATGCTTTCTTCATGGCTCTTACCACCTTGTACCGCGTTGGTATAGGCCGAGCTTTCTCGGTAGACGTGTTCTTTGACGCTCAAACTTCTATACTTATTGCGTCTTTTACCAAAATCTCGACCTTACCTTGGAGTGATCAGCCCTTTGAAATCGCAACTCTTACTGTTACTTATCTTACTGTTCGCAAAGTCCTACGATGAGGTAAGCCATAGTATATATTAGGTTTGATGCATATTTCTTGCACCGAAAACATTGGAAATTTCATGACGTCCCTTTCAACTTATTATTTTTTGATACGTGATAGGCAGACGAAGGTTTGTGGTTTTCGTGTGTACTTTATACCTTTGTTGCCATATGCCAACATATGAGCTGTTTAGGAGAATTGTCCAAAAAGTGATTTATCGAATTTTGGTGATTAAAATGGAACATCTACTGAGATCTAATTTGATTTTGGCCTTGGTTCCCTGAACTACTCAATTTGACTAAAAGAAGCTGGTAGTAGTTAGATGTCTCTACGAATTATGAAAATGCATTTTTCAGATAAGACTTATTGGTTTTGGAAAGTGGTTAAAACGTACTAGAAATTAGAAATGTAGATTAAAATACAGTATGCATAACAAAGAGCATATTGCGTAAATTTATAAGTCTATTCATACATTTTAAAAACGGTTTCCTTCTATTTTCTAGTGTAAGACTTGTGCGTCAACCTAAAACAAGTTTGTAAGATTGTATGTTTGGCAAATTTTGCAAGATGAGCACTCATTTTGGCCCCGCAGAGTTACCCCTCAAGAGAATATGTTATAAGATGTTTATGGAAACTTCACACATGCTAACAAATTATGATGCAGAGAAGTGCTTTTGATTCTTCGTGTTTTCACACTAACCGATTTTGCGGCTAAGAGGCTAACTATATTGGTAGTGTTGCTTTCTTAGTGCCCCTGATTAGTCGTTCCCAAGGAAACTTCAAAAATTTTCAAACGTTGAGGGAAGCCAAAAGAAATGCGAAGATTATAAAACATGCAAAAGACATTCAATCAGAAGATCATAATGATTGCGGTTCTGTGAATCTGTTTCATCTTATTCTAACTAGACACTCGCACTAGTCCATATATTGATTGTTTCAAAAGTCCAGTCCAATTTGTAACTTTCTGATTCAAAATGATGAAACTCTTTTCAAAATCAACATTTTTCAACAAATCAAATTTTGCTGGATTAGCGAGATTATGGCTATTACATGAATAGTACGCCATGCGAAGAAGTCAAGGGAAGGGTGAGAGGAAATCGAAAAACTTTTGCAAGATTTC